TTTGCGAGTAGCATCCCTGTAATAATAAACCTAGTTTTTTAAATTGTTATTAAGGAGTGGCTGCTTTTTCTATTCATTGATGAAACCCATTTTTAATTTTTTTTAGAAACTGAAATTTGTTTTTAGTTGTTAAATTGTAATTTGGGATATTTGAATATTTAAGCAGGATTATAGGAAGAAAAAGTGCCTTTAGAAGTTGTTTAGGCTGATTATAAAATAGGAATTCAAACAATGTATAATGTGAAAAATAATATGTCATTCTAACTAATTTGTATTTTGTTTAACTTTACTTACTTTTATATGTTACTTTTAATAGCATTTAACATTGCACAGAAGCATTTTCTTCCAAATGTAACTAACTCTATTGGAAAGATAATTATTTCAAATTATTTTTGTTTTCTATGTCAATTTATCAGTAATTAGCCTTAATAATGGGCACTATCTTGATGTCTAAATTTTTTTTACGTGTAATAGAATAAATATACGCCCGGTGGCTGAGCGGTAGCACTGCCACAGGTCCCTGGTTCGATCCTTGGGCCAGGCCTTTCATCCCTTCAGTGGGTCGATAAAATGAGTACCAAGCATGCTTAGGAGCTAAACACTGGGGTTTCCGCATTGGACTGACCACTCAACCGGAACATCTGCTCTTGCACCTCAGAGCCCAAAGGTCAAGAAAACGGAGATGGACGCAGTAGGCCTTGGCCCTCTATGGGCTGTCGCGCCACTAAGTTTAGTTTAGTTTAGAATTAATATATTACCTTAAAAGTAAATTAGATGTTTGCAGTGGGCTTTAGAAATTAGTCCTCTTACGCATAAGAAATAGTATTTGCCACCTTTGAAATTTTTCATTGAGTTACTGTTCTTTTTCGAAATTTAGAATATTTTGTGATTCATTATTCTTAATCAAAATATCTATTTTTAGCTATGGTTGTTTACAAAATCATCTTTTATTACAAGGCAAGAAGTGCTTTCTGCAGTTCAAGTAATCAGTTTTATAATTTATATTATCATAATTTTTTTTAATGGTAAGACATTTTAATCTCTCTTTCTTTATAGCAAATAATCACTTCAATTTTTATGGAATAGTAAACTTTATTAAGTAATCACAAAGATTTCATTCCATGTCTAATTGCTTGTTCATTAAAAGTGTAACAAACTCATGTATCAGATAATTTTAAAATACTACCTTCTGTCTCGTGCAAGCAGTAACCAAGCCTTCACACCATACATTTTTAAAAAAATATAAGATCTCATTTAATTTCTCTTGTTTTTAGTCAAGTCATTGCAAGAATTAACATTATTTAAGATGTACTAACTTAGTTAAATTGTTGCAAATTTGCACTAAACTCTCTTGGTGCTGCATATAAGTTTTATTTTTTTAAAAATGTCTTTGTTTTTTTAAATTTTTTTTTTTATCTTTTGATCAAGTTGCATAATATTACAATTTTGGGTGATTTCCCTAAAAGTTAATTTTTGAAAGAATGTTTTGACTTTAGTTTTCGAAATCTAATATCATAGAGTAGGTTGTGGATTACGATCTTTTTTTTTTTTTTTTTTTTTTTTTTTTTTNAGAGATGTGATTTTGTCTTTAAAAGGTTAATAGATATTCATAGCTAAGTACAGTACAGAACTCGTTATCCGGAAATCAGAAAACCGAAAAACCAAAAACTCGGAACGAAATTCAATAAATTTTGCAGCCATTTTTTTAAGAAAAATGTTTTTTTCCTCATAAGAGTTTAGGATTTTTCTTTCTTTTTTGAAAGATGTTTACCTTACCATAATTTTGGAAATAATTATTGTATTACTTCATAGTTTTTTCTTCTTTTTAAGATTATTTCCAAATATTTTTTTTTTATAGTTGGGTTTAACAATAAAAAAAAAGGCTTTTTGTAGCGATTCAGAAAACCGGAAAAATCAGTTATCCGGAATAGCGATAGTCCCGATTGTTCTGGATAATCGGTTCCCTACTGTATTTAAATGCCTCATCATTTTCACTACAGCTTTCCCACTAGACAGGGATCAAGAAGTGGGTTAATTTTTGATTATTTGGAACATCAAAATATTTGGTTGTATTCTTTATCTTTCATTTCTATATTTTCAGTTACATTCTTTTTTATTTTTGTTAAATCCTTTTTGTATAAATTATGTAGCATGAAATAAAAAAAATAATGAAGTAAAATGTTTTATATTCTGCATTAGATTCCAAGTAGAGACTTTGAAAGTATTGCTACTTCACTTGCTGTGAAAACTGACAGATGTTGGCAATTCAAATTTCCTGATGATCAGGAATTTCTTGAGAGGTAAAAGTTTAACTTTTTATTGTAGCATTTTTATAAACAAGCTTTTATTAAATTAAATTGATTTTGTTTTGCTTTTTAAAATAAAACACATTTTATTTTTTAAAAGCTGTTTAAAGAGAAAAATGAAAAAAATATGTTAGATTATATCTTTTTTAGTCATGCTTTTTTTTCCCTTGTTGCATTGTTTGTTCTTAGATTGTGTTTAATTATTCTTGTTGATTTGTTTGCAAAAGATATTTTTGTTTATAGAAAATATAATGTATTTAACTTTCTAAACATTGCTTATAGAAAGATCAAATATGTCTTTAGAAGTAATTTTTTTTTCATTTTGTTTAATACTAATAAAGTAATTTAATAAAAGTATTAATTTTTATGACTTATTTGTATTTTTATGAAACATTTACCAACTGAAGTTATCCTTTTTCAAGAGTAGTTGTTTGCATTATTTGATTTTATATTAATTCTCAAATTTTTGGCAAAACACTACCAATTTGAACAATAATGTTATCTTTCTTAAAAAATGACTTAATTTTCTCTTCTAATTGCACTCCGGAAAAAGTCCAGATTTCCAGATTTTTCGCTAACTGCGATCCGGAAATTCAAGGTCCAGAAGTTTCAAGAAATCATCAATCACATTCATGTATAAAAATTCTTGTATATTTTATTTAAAAATATTAGAACTAGAATTTGTACTTGGCATCTCTTTCATTTGTAAATATTTTTGTCTGGTAGAATAATAAATGTAATTAGAGCTAAAAGTAATTTAAATTATGCTGCATATAATTTATTTAGAATTTCATGTTGTGAAAATATCAATGATTTAAATTTATAAAGACATTAATTTTTTTAAATGCATCATTAATGATTTTACTCAAGAAATTTTCAGGATTTTTCAGTTGGGCTCACAATCACCCCTGCAAAAATCAATGTCAAAATTTTAGTTAATCTCATCATCTTGAATTTTAATTCTGTGACTTTTGTGCCGAAATTGTTTAGGAATTGAAAAGCTCTCTTTACACATTATTTTATGTTTCTTCATTTCTTATACTCTCTCTTTCCCTTTATGCTAACTTTTTCTGACCATTCATTCACTTGCATTCCATTTGTTCATCTGTTTTCATCATGTTCTTCCACAATGAAGAGAAAGTTGTTCATGCAAAATCAGAGCTATTTTTCTGTATATGGTGTTTTAAGAATTATAATTTTTTTTCCTTTAGTACTTATTCCTTACAATGGGACAAAATTTTTTCTAAAATAATTATTACATAAAATTTATGATTTTTTATGCAATGTTTAGCAATGCCATAAAATAATAGGAATCTGCAGAAATGTGCAAACAATTTAAGAAACTAAAATTAAATGCAAAGCTTTACTTCTATTTGTTAAAAAGATTACATCTTTAAAAATGTTTGTTTAAAGTTGATGCTCAGTGATTAATAATATTTGAATAAAAAAAATGAAATTTGAATTTAACTGTTCCAATTTTAGTCATCCTGACATTGCAGAGCGTCAAGCCATGAAATGGGATCTTCGTTATAAAAAGCTTGTTAAAGACTTGAATATTGGCATGCAAGATTCAAGTGGTAAGAGCGTTTGTATTAAAAAACAAATACTATGTTAATTAAAGTTGTAGTTGTTTGAAAATTCAGTATAACTTTAATTTATTGTTATTTTATAAAAATTTGACTTTTTATGTTTTAAGATTGTCTATTTAGAATATTATTTTTTGATGATTTTTTAAACTTATGCCTAAAATTAAGGTAAGGTTAATAAATCTTTAAAATAATATACCAGATTCAATTACAGTTAGTTTTGTCATAAAATAATTTTAATAGTTTTTAAATTAATCTTTCAAATTCTTGATGATTTATTAAGTATTACATCAGTCAGTGTTTTCATCGCAGAAAAAAAATG